ACTTGTGATCTCTGAACGCAGAGGTTTCACTCCGAGGTGGAGCTGTGGTGCTGTATGCTGAGGTGGCTCCTGCTGCTGCTGTCTGGGATGCGCAGGTCCCCATGACCATACACTGGGCACTGGCTGGGCTCTGGGCAATCTGTCACCTCTTTTCCTGGGGCTGTTTCTGACCCCTGGGACATGCAGGGCTGGGGCAAGGAAAAGCATCTTGTTCCCAGCCTTGAGTGAGCTTCAGCTGGTGCAACCCCAGGGCTGGCTGCAAGTGCTGGTCCAGAGCTCAGTACCAGCTCTTCGGCTGTCCTTGCAGTGGAAGGGGAATCATAGAATGGTTTGGGTTGGAAAGGACCGACCTTCAGGTCATCCAGTTCCAACCCACTGCTCCAGGCAGGGACACCTTCTGCTGGAATGGCAGGTTGGTCCGTTTGTCCTTTGTGAACTGCTGCGAAATGCAACAACCACTCCCCTCAACTTCTCCTGCTTCCCCTCTCCACCCCAGAAACCCCAAACCAACGAGGCTGTTGGTGTCTCCTTCCCTCTTCCACTGCCTGTTGCCTGTCCCTGTTGCAGTGAGTGTATGACATAGATGGGACTTGAGGCTGGAGGGTGCTGGCCCTGCTGCCGCATTCACTGTGCTGGTGAGACTCTGCTTGCTCAGCACATGGCTGGATTTTGGGAGCAGGGATATGCACATCCAGCAGCTGCTTTCCTCTTGCCCAAGCTGCAATACCAGCTCATCCAAGGAGGGCATCTCACTGGGTCACCAGCAACAGTAATTTGAGGTCTAAGACTGCTCTTCTCAAATCACCTTGAAAGGCGGCAGACGTGCCCAGCTCCTGCTATCTCTATTTTTACTTCATGCAGAGATGGATATGTCTCAACTGTCTCCTTTTATTTCCAGCATATGGCACATAGTACGTTGCTAAGGATGTGTCTGGATGTGAAGCTGCCCACTTCCCAATCCCTGGGGGACTGCAGGGGAAAAGGCTCTTGTCTTCTGCATGGCTGCATAGTTCATTTCTTCTCTGCTTGCTGCTCTTTGCCTCCTCCCTCCACTTCCCTTCTCTCTATTTGTTCAGAGCAGCCTGGGTGCACAGAAAGCAGGAGCAGGGTAACCTGGGCCACGGGTAGCACTGGATTCCAGAGGCATTTGTGCTTTCTGTTAACTGGAACCGGCCTGTTCTGATGTAGAAACTTCTTACTTGCTTTGTTGAGAGCTTGGCACAGAGTTTTCTTTGGGAAGGCTCAGACCGTGCATTTTGCCTCCTGACAAAGGTGCTGAGAAGCTTTGCCTCTCAGGTGGCTCCAGTTGCAGCTCTGGTGGTGCTGGTTTCCCAGAGCTGTCCCACTGGCATTGCTTTTAGCTTGAGCTGCCCCAACTCCACATGCCTGAGCAGTGGCCATCAGCTGCCCCCGTCCCTCCTCCACTGTGGGCAGGAGCACATACAGATCACCAGGAGAGTCCCCAGTACCTTCCTCTGCCCATGGGATGCTCGTGGAGAGGCTGATTTCATGGTGAGGCTGCTCCAAAACCTGGTTAGGAATAAGAGAAATCATAGAATCCCAGCCTGGTTTGGGTTGGAAGGGACCTTAAAGCTCATCCAGTCCCAACCCCTTCCACTAGACACCTTCCACTAGAGCAGGTTGCTCCAAGCCCCTGTGTCCAACCTGGCCTTGAACACTGCCAGGGATGGGGCAGCCACAGCTTCTCTGGGCACCCTGTGCCAGCGC